GCCCCTGCCGCTTCCACTGGTGCTGCTTCGTGGTGTGCGAGGAGTGCCGCATCACCGAGTGGGTCAGCGTCTGCAAGTGAGCGCCCGGGCTCCCTGGGCCTTAGAAAGCCTCCCCTCCTAGAACCTCGCCCTCTTCGGCTTGCGGCTTGCGATCTTGGCTCTGCAACAGCAACGCCTTGGCTCCTGTAAGAGGAGGTGGGACCACAAGATCTTACCGGAACCTCCCAGCTGCGAGGTCTGCAATCATGGGACCGTCCAGGCCTGTCTGAACCCCAGTACTCACGTCTGTAGGCTCTTGGACTGATCGCCCCCCCCCTCCCTGTCCCAGGCTCAGACAGATCATTTGGGCTGGGGATTGCCCCTACCCTAGGACAAGGTCAGCCAGGCAGCCTCTCCTCTCCGGCCTGTCTCCTTTCAGTCCCCTTCCCCTGGGCTGGGAGGGGCTGGGAGAGGAAGATTAAACAGAAGAAATGGACATGATCGAGCTGAAGTGGTTCTATAAAAGTCCTTGTCACCCTCCCCCACTGGCCTCGCCCCTTATGGTTTCCCTCATCGTTCACTTAACAAATATTTATTTTGCACTATCTTTGTGGCACTCGTGGGGGAAAGAGAGACACTGGGGGATATAGATATGACAGAGACACAGCGCCTGCCCTCTGGGAGGTTACCTTCCCGCTGAGGGAGATGGACAATAAATAAATAAATACACAAACAAGGGCATCTCAGGCCATACTGTGTGCTTGGAAGAAAATAAAGCAGAGTGCTGGGTTCAGAGTGACTTGCGGGGAGTGGGTCCCTTTTAGATAAAGCCACCAGTTAGGGAAGGCCTCTTTGGGTTGTGATACTCATGCTGAGATGGACAGGAAGGGGAAGGAAAGTCTTACAAAGGTCAGGGTAAGGGTTTTCCAGGAAGGGCCAGGAAAATGCCAAAGCTCTTAGGTGAGAAAGCTCTCTGCCAGTTGGAGGAACGGTAAGAGGCCTTTGTGATCCATATGAAGAAATCAAAGCATCCACTAGTGGAGAGCTCAGAGGATGGCAGGGGGCGCATCTTGTGCCTCTAGGCCAAGGTGACCAGTTGGGGTTTTATTTAAGGAGTGGGATCTTCAGTGCTTCTTAGGCAGGGGAGTGTCATGGTTTGATTCCATGGTTTACTGTATGGGGAACTGGTTGAAGAGGGACAAGATGATAGCCGGAAGGCTAGTTAGGAGGCCGCAGCCATCTTCCAGCCCAGATGTGGGGCCTGGACTGCATGGAGGCAGTGGGAAGGTTGAGCAGGGGCCGGATGGGGAGCCCTCAGTGCCAGAGCTTTAACCGCCCACCTTGTGCCTGAGCCCTCTGCCACAAGCCAGGACGAGTGGCCGTGCCCAGCAGCAACCATCGCAGAGACAGGAGGCACTCTGAGAGGAGTAATCCTGGGCAAGACCCAGCTCAACCCAGCCCAGCGCCCCGGGGAGCAGGTGGGGCCAGGAGGTGCGGCTGGGAAGAGAGTGGCGGGGGAGGGCCCGGAGACTCACTGTCTGGATTCTGGTCTCTGAGTCCAGGCAGGAGAGGCAGGGTATGTAAGTCAGGCTCAGGGAGGACACTCTTCCTGGGCCTCCTGGACCCCCAGATCCCCAGGTCAGGGTGCCCCTTAGCAGATCAATAATTCCTCTCCACCTTCATGTCCCCCCACTGCAGTGCTGGCAGTTTGAGGCCAGGGTTGCATTCTTGGCTTTCAGAGCTGACTTTTTTCTGGAACAGACCCTCAGGAGGAGGATGGTACAGACAAAGGTTGGGTCAGGATCTCAGGGAAAGAACCCATCTGTGTCTCCTGCTGCTCACAGTTAGGGGTCCTGCTGGCTGCCTCAGTTTATCCCAGATTGGCACCCCTCTCGATAAACCAGACAAAGACGGAGTCTTGTTTCTTT